CCGCCCCAGACTTGGCCCAACCCAGTGTCCGGCATCCTCGATCTTGAACCCTACGCCCCTGCCTCGTGCGAGCGTGCCAGTCCAAACCCCTGAAGGGTGACCGCGTTAGCAGCAGGCTAGCGACTGACGATGATTGATGGAATATGATGGAAGTTGTGTGAGGAATCTTTCAAATAACCGGGACTTATTCGATTGCCCCCAGATGACAGCATGGGGAAAATTGAGAATGACAATGGCCCTTCCTCTGGCAAGTCTTGCAGAGATGGAGTGAATGCACACGGTCGGCAACATTGCCACATGTCAGTGTGACAGAATGGCGATTGATGGGCAAATGAATGATGGGCACTTGGACCATGACTGCAGAACTTGGGACCTGCTCTATGATGAGGCTGGCCCACCGAGTGCATCAGCGAAGTGGAATAATAGTTTCAGCGTCATCTTCCAATGAACTCGCAGATTGTGCTTGCGAGTGTGGCCAATGCTCTTGCAACCGGGAGCTGAGACTGTCCCGAGGAAGAATGCCAAAGGCATGAAGTGAGAACAGGACTGAGAGCCGGAACGAATTAGGAAGTCGGGTATCCATCTTTGAAATGTTGAGGAAACCTTTTCAGTGGTGCAAAACTCAATCTTTGAATGAGCTTCACTTTGAGCTAGAGGCCCAGAACTGAGAGTATGCGTATTGGTGCTTGAATTGCTCATTTGATTGTTTGGCCGTTTCCCGAGTGCCCATATGCGTTTTAGGTATTTGAGTGGTCCTCGAATGAAGTTCGGGGACTCCGTTAAATTACGCTGCCCTATAAGTGGCTCCACGCGAGCACGGCGCAAGACATGGCACAACGGATCTCCAATGTGACATTGCACTGCAGCAACAGATTGGTGTAGGTAGGATTCGCGTGCCGTTGCTTACAAATGCTTATTGTGCCTGGTGTCGCCTGTTATTGATGCATGGTTCCAGGTGATAACAGCTTGACATCAACAGCGCAAAATCAGAAGTGCACAGCGAATCTGCGCAGGCTTCTCGCAGGATAGTATCTAACCGAAATCTTCAGACGACATCGCGGCTGGCCCTTCCCAACTTTGCTTGAGGCAGCAGAAACAGCTGCACATTCTCGTGCGCCCCTGCTGCCCGACGAACAGCAGGACAGGCGGTTTATCTTTTGCCTGCCAGGGAAGAGGTGGTGCCAGTATCATTTGGGAGCGCCGCTGGGCTTTTTAGGATCTGCGGCATGCGTGTATAGTGCAGTTCCCAGCTCTTTCAAAATCCCTTCAGGACTATACCGTAATTCATAATAATCATCCTTAGTATAAATTAGGGTATACTCCTTAAAACTTAAGGGGTTTTGGAAGACCTGGGTTGTGGCTTCGGGGGAGGGCAAGGCAGCTGCACACTGTGAGTTCGTCGAAGGGTGCATGCACAAACTTGCATGTTCAGGGCTGAGCTTGAAGGGCCGAATGCTGACTTAAGATTAAGAAAAGGTTCGACAAAATGTTCTGGGAGCGTGGTTTTTTGGAATATCTGTAGCCAGAACCCAAATATTGCAGGACATGCCGATATGCTACCATGCGCGTGGAGCCGAAGCCCAGAAAAGCAACCTGACAGAATCTGCCCTTAACAGCTCCTTGAAACACGGCGTGTGTTAAATCAACGCCCAGCGGTAAACCCTGCTTGGGGGGTAAGAGCGAACCATATCCCCTCAATGCCGATGTTACGAATCCTCCTTGGCAGGGCCTCCATGAGTGCAGGTCTTAGCATGGTCTGAGATGGTGTTGGGGGAGTTAAGGGAGGAAAAGTTGAGGGCTTCGGCGCTTTGAGTTACTTTGAGGGCATGCTGCTGTGTGGCTGTGATCTCGGGTGATCTTGCTGCCTGCTAACTCGTGATTGGTCGAGCTCGCAGCTCAAGTACAGGCTCATATCCCAAATCCTAAATCCCTAAATCCTTAACACCGTGGATGCCTACGTGTCATCTGCCTTTCTCAGACAAATAGAGTTACCACGGCCCAACTCGTCTACTGATCCCCGGGAGCTAGGCTCCTCACACGAAGCCACGGCGTGCAGTTCATGCAGCAAGCGCCTGTTCGGGTGTGTGGTGGGCGTTTCGTTTTTTTTGGGGGGGGGGGGGGGGGGGGGGTGGGGGGGGGGGTGGGGGGGTCGGTGGGGGGGGGGGGTGGGGGTGGGGGGTGGGGGGGGTGGGCGGAAAGGGGGGGGGGTGGGGGGAGGGTGGGGGTGGGGGGGGGGGGGTACATGGTCGAGGGTATTCCATTTCTGTGTTCTGGGCTGTCCAGGCTTTTCATTTCCCAGTTGTCGTATTATATGCGGGCAACGAGAGCACCCAATTTCAGACATGATCTGCAGGTCCAGCCGGAAGTTTGTCGCTTTGTGCATGAGGCAGGGCTTGCATGTTGCACCCTAAACCCTAAACCCTAAACCCTAAACCCTAAACCCTAAACCCTAAACCCTAAACCCTAAACGGCTCTTGTTGCGGGCTCCTGGCCATCAGAATGCCCAAGCTCCTGCGGATGTTCCGGAGCGCTCCTCCTACCCTAACACCCTGAAACCCTAAAGCCCTAACACCCTAAAACCCTAAACTCTAAAACCCTAAAACCCCAAAACCAAACTGTTTGGCATTTCTGGCTTTCAGCCTCCACCACGAGCCTGCGAACAACGGCCTGAGTTTTTTAAAGGGTTAGGGGTTTAGGGATTAGGGCTTGCGGCTTAGAGTTTAGGGTTTAGGGTTGATAAAGTGTCGCTATTTCCGACGATGGCCGGCTGAAGCCTCTGCCTGCTGTGGGCCCTGGGGGGGGGGGGGGGGCGTGAATTTCGAAACCATCCCACAGTCACAAAAGGGTTTAGGGTTTAGGGCTTAGACAGCCCCCCAAACCCGAAGAGGTTTGAGCCGTCAGAGCGGCCAGTCGCCACCAAGCTTTTGGCAGGCGCATGGGTTTAGCGTTTAGGGTTTAGGGCGCTTGAATCTCCAGCCGTTTGTGGGGTTTGGGGGATTACGGTTTCGGGTCGAGGGTTTGTTTATGACATTGCTTGGCATCGGTTGGTTGCCTCAGCGGGTTCAATTCTCAGTGCACTATTCCCTTAAACCCTAACACTAAACCCGAATTCCTAAACCCGCGGAGGCTTCCCGGAAGAGGCGGCAACGTGGCATAACGCCAGCGCGCAAGACTCGGTACAGGTGCGTGACAAGTCTTTGAGACCATTGCTGGCACTCATTCTTCGCAAGCTCTTCTCAGGTTTGGCTTTTGCGCATCACCCTCCAAGCCGCGTAGTGCAACATCTGCTCACAAGTTACATCTTAGCACGCGCTACACGCCCTCTCACAAACACAGCAGCAATGTGGGCAATATGACCTGATCCGTTCACGCAATCTTAGAAACAACAAGCTCGATGATCGAGAACAGCACTCCAAAGTACCTGGCATGCCAACATCGGCACATTGACTACTATTTGCTTAAGAACTCCAAAAGAATAAAACATTATCATTCCCATATTACCCTTATAAGGAAGAATATTCTGAAATGTTCCCTATCCTCCTACTCGTGGCCTCCATGTGCCGAGGACTAGCGGCACGCGCTCCCCAACGGCTCGCTGACACGGATAGGGGTTTAGGGTTTAGGGTTTAGGGGCTGAGAATGCTCTGCTTCTTAACCGCATCCGTATGCTCCGCTCATCTCGACAGTTTAGGAGTCACTGGGCTGCTCGGTTTCCAGCAGCCCCGTGGGCCATGCATGCCTTTTTCACTCCGACCATAGGAAGGTGGTCATAAGGTAGACCTGCCAAGCTCGTTGCGTTGCTGTTTATGAGAACTCGAAGCTTTCGAAGCGGTTCTTATACTTTCCACATAGTCAACTTGGCAGGTGCAACAGTAAGCTAACGAGCGATTGAACAGGAATGTGACCATTTAGGTGGCAAAGTGCTGTATCCCAGGAATACTCGTCCCACCTGACAGTTGGCGTGGTAAACCCACTAGAGCACAAACAGGGCAGATGATGCAGCACTTCACTGTCGTAGTAGTATCATGGGTTCCCCTACTACCCCCCTCTAGAAACACCCCCTAAATTCCCCCCATAATTAAGGCTATTTCGGGATAATTAACGGTTTTTAAGGGGGGAATCCCTAAACCCTAAACCCTACACCCTCAACCCTAAACCCTAAACCACAATAGAGGGGCGTACTGCAGGGAAACCCATGATAGTAGGACCATCCTCGAGCTGAAGGCCCGAAGCCGTGGCCAAGACGGTCGGCGGATATTTTCAATTCTCTACTAGTTGCTTTTAAGAACCCCAAAAGAATATAAACAATATTGGTAATCCCTATAAGGGTTATCAGGAAGATTTATTTTATCATTGCTTAAGTTTTTTTTTTCTGGGGGGGGTTCTTAAGCAATTAGTAGTTCTGGTTCAGTCAAGACAACAGCCGAGCCGGGGTGTCTTCAATCGGAGACACTTCTGGTGGACTGGTTTCTTTGAGAGCATCGCGCGGATGTGTGAAAAAATCTTCAGGGCTCAGGCATGTGATGCCACGACTCTGTGGTGGCAGCTGCTCATCCTCAGAGATTCATGAGCACAAGGTGACATTGTTGCTCTGCAGCCTTCTTAGCAGAAGTGAAGCAGGAAACCATGGTTGATATGTTCTTTGCTCGGGACTTGCACTTCTTGCAAGAGTTGTCTTTTGTTTCCATGCGCTTGAGACGCAACGTGTTTGCAAGCGAACTGTTTAGAATCCAGCTTAGCAAGCAGAGGGGCGAAGTTGGGGTTTAGGAAGCCCTCAGTCTGCAGCTGTGGCACTGGAACTCGCCGGAACTCGAGGCGGCTCCTCAAAAGCCAAAATTAACAAGCCTTGTGAACGGGGGAGGTAGACATACAAGTTCTTGACTCTTAGAAGACCAGGAATCAGATGAGAGAAAGCTTGGGTATGCACAGAAGATCATGCTGTTGTCAGTCCGCTCACCATTCCGCAAGTCCTGAATGAAGCTTTGAAGGCGATCACCGTCATGCCGGTCAACCAGGAGTCGCCGGCTTTCATTGCGTTGGTGCAGGCAAGGGTGTTCTGCAATGGGCAATGTGCTATGATTTCTCGTGCTGCGACACACATGTGTTGAACATTGCAGAGGTATATATGTGTCCAAATGTGTAGGTTTTGGCTTCTTTATGGGTATATTGTTATCTTTATTTGTGGGTTAATTTTATCTTGTTTCTCCCTTCTTTTCTGTGGAGTGGCCTCTCGGGTTGGCCGTTTTTATTGCCAACAGGCCCCAATGATGTAATGCGGGGAGGGGCTCCAAGTGGAGTTTCCGATGGCGTCGCCGTGCGTTTAGGGTTTAGGGTTTAGCCTCGAAAGCAGACTGTTCCGCCGGCATCGCCGGGCATTCTGGGAGCAGGGCGCATGCGATGTGGATGGCCAGCACCACTCGAAATCATTGCTGATGAGACTACTACTCAGTAGCTACTCCACACAGGAAGCCTTCATTTCAGACCTCCAGCTTGGGATGTTCGGTTCCCCCTTTTACTAACAATCCTTCATATAGTACCCCCCCCCCCCCCCAGTATAGTCCCTAATTATTAATTAAGGACTGCTAGTAGGGTACACATCCCAACCTCCTGCAATCCTTTCATGTTTGCCAAAGGCCAGTGCTGGTGCTGCGGGCGCCGTTTTCGCTTCGCTGGTCCTACAGCCTGTGGAGGCAAATTGGTTCACCAGACGTCGTAAGCGTCGTAAGCCACAGCACTGAGGACCTTACCTTTGGTAGCCCAGTGGTACCCTTGACCCTTTTTTTGGGTTCTGGTTTCCCTTATGAGATCACCAACCCAAAGAGGGTGCCCTTATTATAAGATGGTTACTGGGCTACCAAGACCAGGATCATCAGGATCCTGGTTCTCATGCTGGTTGCCTACATGTAGTTTGAGGGCAGTGCAGGCTGCAAGGATTTGAACTTGTGGCGTGCGGCTTCGTTTTTTCGAACAGCCCGTTCAATCGGTGCTGAACTGAACAGCTGCGAAAGTTGCCAAGGAATATGCTTGTGGCCCCTATACAACCACACGTTCTTGCATACCGCTCTATACCTACCGCGCTCAGGTGGCCAAGACTCGCATCCAGATCAGCCATGAAGGCTTTTCTGGGCTGGGGCACGGGGCGAAGAGGGGTCAGGCAGAAAAGTAACCTCCAGCACTGCATGGTTCAGAGGCTTTGCTTGAGGCCCGAAACGCCAACAACATCAGGCTCTTTCCTCTCAGCCGTTCCCACAAACCCTTGAGCGTTCTGCAGGGTACGGCACTGGTTCGAAGAGCACGGGGTTGAGGGCTCCAGGTTTTGGCTTTGGCGTTAAGACAGAGAATCGACGGGTTACTGCTCCAACACGCTGTCTCTTTTCTGCGGCAGGAGATGACAGCACCCTTGAGACAATGAGGACTCTGATCTCATGGATTGCAGGTTCGTTAAGGGTGAGCCGGTGTTGTCTTGCAGACATGTTTGTCATGCACTACGAGGGGTCAGTATGCGGTCGGAGAACGTTCACAACACGCTCGCACATCCAAAGAGGGCTAACATGAAGATTTGGGGTTTAGGGTTTAGGGTTCCTGCATGGATTTCCTTGGCTAACCCTAAACCCTAAACCCTTCATGCAGCAGAAACCCTAAACCCTAAACTCTCTGTGAGAGCAAGACTCACAGGAAGATTGCGGTTGCTGATGGCCCTTTGGGCCTTTGGCTGGGAGCAGGTGGCAAATGTACAGAGACCCTTGGATCAAATGCCTCGGCCGAGTTTAGGGCTTAGGGTTTAGGAGGGTTATAATTGGGTTCTTCTGTTGTTGGGCTTGGGTTCTTCTGTTGTTGGGCTCGCCAGGTCTAGCCAAACGCTATAAGTACCGAAGCATTATTTTGCATGAATGCATCGCCTTCGCCGCGCACCATTGTGCCTGGGATGTGCAAGCGCCCGAGCAACAGAGAGTCTAGACGAGCGAGTGGAAACCTAACCATGCCAAGGCCACAAGCTGGCTACCTTTAATGATGGTGTCAGGTGCTGTTGTAAAGCCGCCATTTTATGATGGAAAAGTCTCAGTTCGAATGTCCATCAAGGGGAAGTCTCTGAAAAGTCTTTTCACGCAACGCTGCGCGTAGGTTTGGGTTTGAGCCTTCCCCACACCGTTCAAGGGGGATGACGGTTGAACGACGGTTGAAACCTTCACTTGCTTTTTTCACATGACGAGATGACGAGCACCCTACGGTCAGAGATGAGTTTGTCATCTGGTGGGCTATGTTTGTGAGAACGTCTTCTTTGCATAATGCCGGTTAGCGACTTCCTTCACGATTCTTCTCCAACGTCTGAGTGTTCAGCTGGTGGCACTTCCTCCGTGATGCTAATTACCCAGGAACGGAGCCAAAAACTTCGCGTTGGAGCCTGAGAGTGAAAAAACCCTCTTATGTTCGTGGCGAGCCCCGGACCCCGGACATCTGTCGTCTTGTTTTCCTCTCATCAGGTTTGATGCGTAGGTGCTTGCGCACGCATGCTGTCCGCTGGCACTATAGTTGCTGAAAAGGCTCGCGATCGGACCTGAAAGCAAACCTACCTGGCAGCACCAGGTATTTTTACATCTACGACTGGATGAATGCCGTGGTCAAGCAGTACATGGCTGTCACAACGTCTGTCCGCGGCTTAGGCATGGCTTCCCAGGTAGCGGCCTGCCACTTGCGTTTGTCGCGCTTGCGGGCGCGGGCGTGCGCAAAAATGACATGCCGTGACAGAGGCGAAGTTGGTGTTGGGCTACGTTGCTGGAGTCGGTGCCCTGCCATGCAGGGTGTGCTTGGTATGGACTGATACCGATACCGGATTTGTTTTTGTTGCAGAATGAGCTGCAGACAGCCCTTTGTCAGACCTGTTAATCCTCTTGGCATCTAAGGCAACACATTGATCAACATGCCTTTGGAAGTCATCTCCACCAAGATGCAGCTGGACGATGCAAAGGCACTTCGCCCTTCGCCACGAACGCCTGAACCGGAAGCCGGTAACGAAGTCGGCCTCTTCTTGTCCGAGTTTTAGCGATCATGTCACGCCTAGCAGCTAGCACCGCAATCCTGGAACCGTAGTCTGCCGCCATGCCACGAGACTGCAGTGTCTTGCCAAAGTGAGCCTGGCGAGGTTGTAGATGCAGAACATATTTAGGGTTTGGGGTTTTAAGGGTTTAGGGTTTAGGGAGAGGAACGGAAAGAAGAAGTAACTGCGACTACGCAGCAGAAGAAGAAAGAAGAGCATGCCTGTTTACAGAAGAGGAACAGGAGGAGGAGAAGGAGAAGGATGAATAAGAAAGACACGGGAGATGCCTTAGGCATACGCGTTTTAACTAAGTTGTTCATGCGTCGGGGGGGGGCCTCATGCACGCAGTTGTGCAAGTAGGGATGCCGGATTTGCTCCCCCCCCCCCCCTTCGCCCCCCCTCCCCCCCCCCCCCTTCCCCCCCCCCTTCGCCCCCCCTTCCCCCCCCCCCCCCCCCCCCCCCGCCCCCCCCCCCCCCCCCCCCCCCCCCCCCCCCCCCCCCCCCCCCCCCCCCCCTCTTGGGCTGTCAGGAGGTGGCTCCCTAAACCCGAAACTCTAAACCCTAAACCCTAAACCCCAAACCCCAAACCCCATAAACCCTAAACTCTCAACACTTTTGGCTTTCTCCGGACTCTTCTTGTCTTTGCTGCCCAAGCCGGGCTCTGCTGCTCCTCTCCTCACACTTCTGGCCTTTTGCAGCCCGAATCCCAGCGACCCGGAGGTTAGATGTTGTTCTGTGAGGGTCCAAGTACCTGTAATTATCATATACTTGGGCCCCAAAGTGCCTTTGTAGCAAGGACTCCCAAGTATTCCCTATTTAGGTACATGGTCCCTTGGGGGTTGGGTTTAGGGTTTAGGGTTTAGAAATGAATTTCTCCGCCATTGCGAACCGCCAGCCGCGCAGCGGGAGTGTGGAGTCTTGTGCAGGAGGAAACATGACGCAATTTCACACCTTTATTCGTGAACTGTGCCCTGGGGTAAAAAATGATTAGCTGAATTAGCTGTAACTACAAGCTCGGAACGAGCGAGAACACCATAGCCAGAGCAATTTGAGAGAGAGAGAGAGAGACAACATGCCCCATTCATGCTATCCGCGTCGTTTTGTACGTTTTGTTAACCCTGCGCAGAAGCTGAAGAAGAGTGAAGTCTCCCAAACGAAGCTTCGCGATCAGGGTTTGGGAACCCTCGGCATGCTACGCCGCATCATCCAAGATGATGGAAACCCATCTGCAAATCTGGGGAGGAGGGGATTGAGGGGTTTACGAAAATAAGGGTCCCTAATAGAGACCCCCAAACAGTAGGATTTCCATATAAAAAGGATATCCCTAATATTTTGGAAACCCCCATATAGGGATTGAGGGGTTTAGGGTTTAGGATGTCGGGTTGGCTGGTTTAGGGGGTAGGTTGGGGGGCTCGTCTTGTCGGTTCAACAAACGCTTGGAGGCTTTCGGCTGGTGGTTTCTGGGTACTCAAGAACATAGTGACATTAGTATATTGGAATATCGGAAGATAAGAGTATAGAATAATATTCAAGACTACCTAAGGAGAATATTAATTCAATCATTGTATATGATAATGAGGTCACAGGGGCTGCACAGCCTTGAGTCCTTCCTGGGGGACGAGTTCAGGGTCAAGTCAAAACAGACTTGGAGATGGCTGGGGCGTGGTGCGTGCTTGGCTTCAGAAGTGTGTGAACCTTTAGGGTTTAGGGTTTAGGGTTTAGGGTTTAGGGTTTACGGTTTAGGGTTTATAGGGTTTAGGGTGTTTTTGAGCGCACTGCTTGTGAAAGGAGGGCCCCTCAAAGCCTACACCCAACAACAAGCATGCCCAGCGCTGCAGTCCCTAGTTTGCCTGCTTGCTGTTGACGATCTGACACCTAAGGCCCTACATCTCTTCTTAACGTGCCGAAAAATAGCTTGCCGGGGCTTCACCGTAAGCGAAGCAGAAACGGGAAGGAGGCAGAACACCAACTAGGTCACTTCGAGACAGACCCCCTTACTGAGGAGTGGGCGCTTTGTACACCGGCCTGGGCTACAACATCGTCTGGGTCTCGTCTTCCTCTGACAGCTTTGTCCACAGTGCCCAAAGAGCCCAATATTGCTTAATTAGGAATATTCCTTAAATCAGATTAAGGTTCCCTATATGATTTAAGGCATATTCCTTAACTAAGCAATATTGGGCTCTTTGGGTGTTGCTGGAATGGGCGAGTCTACCTTGCCAAGAGGCCCTGTGCATCAACCCGGCCATCCAGAACACCATCCTGGAGCCTCAGACGCACCCCCCCCTAAACCCTAAACCCCTAAACCCCTAAACCCCCAAACCCTTAACCCTTAAACCCTTAAACCCATAATTAAACCATAAACCCAAAAAAAAACCCTAAAACAAAAACCCCCTTAAACCCTAAACCCCATTCGGGTATCACCTCTTCCCTTCAGATACCTTCGATCACAGGATCATGCGTCGTCGAGCTGGGATAATTCAGGGCAAGCCCGCACGTCCTCGTTTTCCATTGGCAACAGGGCCCTTCCCCGCCCCAAATCTACATATTCAGCATTTTTTGTGTTGAAGGGTTGAAGAATCCGATGAGTTGGGGTAGCTGGTAGGAAGCATGCCCCAGCGAAGTAGACATGGCATGACATGTGTTGAAACCCAGGTGCCCAGGCGCGGGGGGCATAGAGGATTGTAGCAGATCATCGTGGGGTTCGGGGCAGCGTAGTTCTTGCAAAAGCAGTTCCAGCCCATTTTGGAGGTTGTCCTGGTCTGCACTCACGCGAGCAGCTCTTGACGCGTATGCCTCCGCATTGGTCGGTAAACTAACAAACTAGTACAATAGTAGTCCAGTCATATACTAGTAGACTCACATGATAATGAAATAACATCAAGTTCTATAATATTCAACGCCTTGCAAGGACAAGCTGAAAGAAACGATCCTCCGGCAGATGAAGCGTCGAAATCCTGAGGCCTGCCCTTGTCACAGGTGTGACGAAAGAGGTCATGATATTATTATGATATGATTCTGTTATGATACTATTATGTTATGATGTTATCATACAACTATGCTTTTATTTTCTGGTATTATTATGTGATGATTTGATTAGATAGGCATGTCACTACGATTATGAAGCTACTGCAAGGCATGTGCCTCTGTCTACGTGTGGAGGTGACACCAGCCCTGACGGCCTTCCAAGCCCTTGGACTGAACACACCAGGGGCACTTTATGGCACCCTTCAGGGTTTAGGGTTTAGGGTTTCGTGTTTAGGGTTTGGGGTTGAGGGTTTACTGTACATCTAACCCGGCCGGCTTCTGAGAAACCTGTGTTAAAGGGAGTTTAGGGCTAGGGGAGGCTCGCGTTGTTCTCTTGCAACCTTTCGCAGTGCAACTTGAGAACGTGGCTGTCCTTGTGATGTTCTGCGTGAGAACGAGTCCACCCTCCCACCCCACTAAATGACACAAAGGAGGACTTATATCATTCATGAGGTCGGGGATACGTATCAAAAAGGGTACGTATCACATAGGGGCCTTGGGGTTCGCAGAGACTTGAAGAAAATTGAATAATTTAGCAGGATTTTGAATAATTTCGAGTATTCTGGCATAATTTGGAATATTTTGGTTGTTTTAAGGTTTTTTTGTAATTTTCTGGAATTTGTCTGACGTGTTGTTGGATGTCTTTGTTGTTTGGGTTTGCTGGTTTTTTTGGATTTATTGAATTTTATTGAGTCAAAAGTTTTGAAATATGTCTGCGATTGTATTTTGTATTTTTACAGTTATGCAGTTTTAACTATGTAAAGTAAACATTATGCATATATATATATGTGTATATTACACGTTTAAGAAAATATTACACAACCTGCTCTGCTGTAATTTCGATTTAAATGTATCTAGGCCTTTATTTTTTCAGGAATAAAACTGAAATATTTTCTGAATTTCCGTGAACATTCGGAATAATAATGCATTATTTCGAATGATTGGGAGTTTTTGGCTTTTTGGGCATATTTTTTTTTTAAATTTTTGGAATATTCCCCAAATTTTGGGAAATGTTTGGAGTATATCGGGTTTTTTGAAATGTTTTGGATGTGTTTTCGACTGATTAAGAATTATTTTGCATTTTTTCTGCAGAACATAGTATATTTTGGAATAACGGTTTTGAGGTTGGTATGTATCCTTCTGATATGCCTCCCCATTCTCAGAGAAGCTTATACAACGGGAGAGCCTATCCGACTTAGCCCGGGCCATCTTGCTACGTATGGCCATGCCACGGGCTTAGGGTTTAGGGTTTAGGGTTTAGGGTTTAGGGTGGGTTTCGCATAAGCCATACTGAGGCGTTCACGTTGGGAGCTTTTGCCAAAGCCGTTGCCACTGTGGTAACATATCCGCTGGTGCGTCTGAAGACGAACTTGCCTCTTGGACGCAGCTGCTCTTGCGTTGACATGATTCCTTGATTGCTTCTGGCTGAAGGCTTTCATGGATTAAGACTTCGAAGGCGTATGGCGTTTACGGCTCAGGCAGAATAGGAGATTTAGAGATGTTGATAGGCTAGGCTATACTTTTTGAGTATTGGAAGATCGTACATTTGCTGTAAGTCTCTTTGCAGTTCTTTGGAAAGCTCGCGCGCTTCGTTGTTGGATTTTGGTGCTTGGGACATGGTCTGTAGATCATTCGGGAGCGGACAGCATGTCAAAGACGCACACCCAGCTCACAGGGTTGAGGGTTTAATGGCTACGGCTCAAGTGAAACCTTAAAGCTTCAAACCCCTTAGAGACCAGCGGGATGGGTCCTGCGCCCAGTAGGCCCAGCTCGATGGGTGCTGCACCCAGTGGTCCCAGCGAGACGGGTGCTGTACAGCCAAACCTCGTCAGCGGGACCCGAGCCCGCCAGCGGTGTCCGCTGACGCCATGGATCTGAAAGTGCAGACGATCAGTGGCAATGTGCATTCGGTCTCCATCTCGACGTCCGCGAACCTCCTGGCTCTCTACGAAGCCGTCGGGCTCGCAATGGACATCAAACCTTGGGAGCTGCGCCTCACCGCTGATGCCAGAGTCCTGTGCTTCGGTGCAGCCCGTGTTTGCAGGAGAACCCCGGCCAGAGGCTGCTACAACGCGAACTACGTCTGTACCGTGCTCCAGGTTCGTCAGGTCGGCTGGGGCATGCTGGACATCGACATCAGTGTCCTGGGTGACGGGTCTTTGGGAGGTCCTCAGACACCTGGGCCAAGGGCCCACGGAGCTCTTCCCATGGCTGTAACTTTGGACGTGGATCAAGAAGACCAAAAGCAGGGCACTTTACCATTCGAAAACGTGCCGACGTCCGGAGAGGTGTCATTCATATACGGCGTAAACGGCTACGACCCTCTGGTGTTGAACCTCGACGGCCGGTAAGTTTCTGGGCGGACTGCGCAGCATGCCATCACATCCATCGAGACCCGGGAAGAAGAGCAACAGCGGACGACAAGCCTCAGATCTCCTCCACTTGACTCGAAGAAAGGGCAGAACAGATGCAGCTTGCGACACGACAAAGAACAGCGTGGCGGCGCCGAGGCTGTTCGAAAAAAAGGGTGTAGGGTGTAGGGTGTAGGCCCATGTAGGAGATTTAGGAGACTGAATGCGGCAAGTGCAGCAACTATCGCCAAGTACGTGTAAACTTAGGGGTTGGGCTGAGTTCTAAGTATCGGGCCATGGAACTATGTGTTTCATGCACATTATTGGTTGGTCTCGTTCAAAAAGCTGATTGTAGCATAAGTAATACATCCATTTAACTGCATTCAATGATTTTCATCGAATTTGCGAATCGATCTACAGTTTCAACTGGGGGGGGGGGGGCGAATGCAATCAAAAGTATCGCTCTATCAGCTCTGTGCAATATTGGAAAGGAAAACTACTTAGGTCAGGGGCCTGTTAGTAAGTAGCATAGTTCCCAAATGTACGTAGCTGCAGGTTAGTTTCAGACATGATCTTCGAAAGTGACGAAACTATAAATTTCATGCAAGGCGACTCAACTTGCTGATTTTAATCAGGGCTAGTTGGCTTTTGGTAAACTAGGGGCTAGCTATCTTGACTGCAACAAACACAACTCGCGTTTCCAACTAACATGTTCTCCTTTTTTACATGAACAACAAAGCTTTTAGAATTAGACTCTCAAGGCGTATGTGTTTTTCCCAAGGTCGTCTATATTTGTTTACATAGAGCTATACCTTTCATGGACGGGAGAAAGTTGAAGAGAATGAAGGACAGCTATTGGGACAGCTGATGTGCTACATGAAAACCCCTCGCAGTGGCATCGCGAGTTCCCGTTGTACCTACAATGTTCTTAAGAAGCCTTTGTGTGTTATGCATCTAGCCTATAGTTGAATGGTATGGCCAACCTCCAACTATCATCCTGATCAGTTTCGTGTGAAGCAGTTTAAAGCAGTCGTGCAGTACTAAACTTAAGGATCTGAAGCCACAATGTGCTCATCAGGTGATTCACAACTACTTCAACGTTCCTATGCTAGCCTAGGGCTAAACAAGTCTAGTACCCTAGCTTGAAATAGTTTTTCATGAGTTGAATGTACTTATAGGCAAGCGCCTGCTTTATCTGTTGTGTGTGATTGGGTTTGGTTCGGGGAGGGGGGGGAGATCAGCCACACCAAAGCCGCGACTCAGGCAAGCCGGGACCGCGCAGCCACCGACTGCGCAGCGGCCCAGCCGGCGGCCGAAGCTCCGGCAAAGATGAGGGTTTCGGGTTTAGGGTTTAGGGTTTAGGGGGGAATAGAGGTGTGTGGTCAAGGTGTCGCAGGTTTTTGGAGGCAAACGAATATCGATGCGGGAGGTAGTCCTCTGTCGTCTGCGTGTCCTGTTTATGGTCAGGGGTGCAGCTTCGACAGTCAGCTTGGGCTCACAGGTTGTGAAGTCCACATGGAGCGGGGGGGGGGGGAACCCGCTTTGCTCTTCCAATCACTGGTGTCGAGGCGTTCTGACAAGGCATCGGTTCCTCCAATGTTCTTCAAAGGGAGCCATGATAAGCATGGACTTGTGAAGCTCTCTCTTGTCCTCAGTTCTCATCGGAGTGCAGGGGGGCGGGTTCAGTATATCCGGAGGCGAACTCAGTCCAATTGAGCCTTTCCAGGACCAGCAGCAAAGACTTGAAGCGCACAGGCCCGGTGCTTTGTCGATCCAGCTCTTTGCACCAGAGACCACCTCGAGTCACATGCTGTGTCATCATGTCGTGCTGTGTGTTTTCCTGCCACATCTGTGCTGGACATCAGCATGGTGTCAAAAGTCTTTGAACTGTGCAAGAGGCTCCGTCGAATTGATTCGCGCGATGTCCTTCCGCGAGGCTGCTAGGGTTGATCCCTTCAACTGCGCTGGCGCAGCTCAGTGGACATGCCATCACCATTGTTTGAGTTCAAGGCTTGTCAGAGCTTGTGGTTTGTGTGAGCTATCAGGCAGCCAGAGCCTCTTTGCCGGATAGTCCCGGGTTGCAGGTTGGTGAAGCGCTTTAGCAAGCCAAGAAGAGATAAAACACAACTTCTTGAACAGCAACCCAGCGAATCTGCTAGGAGCTTCGTTTGGCCGTGAAAAGTTGCTTGCCAGGACAGAGTGCCGGAGCAGGTATCCCTCTTGCAGAGGCCTTGCCTGTGTTTCGCTGACCAGGTCGCTGTAGGCACCCTAAACCCTAAACCCTAAACCCTAAACCCTAAACCCTAAACCCTAAACCCTAAAAACCCTAAACCCTAAACCCTAAAGGCAGTCTGGGCATGCACAGTTCAGATGGCATGTCGTGTGTAGTTGGGCTCCGAACCGCTGAAGGCAAGGCTAGCGCTACTACGCTACACAAGAGCAAATTGCATAACTTATACGTATATATATATATACATACATATATATATATATTTGTATGTATATACTTATATATATATATACATATAGTCTCATGCGCAGCTCATCTAAAATGCTCCTCGAAGTAACACCTCCAGGCCGGAGGCACCTGCTGCCCGCTTCCCTATTTGTTGTGCTGGGGTGGTTGCATGGTCCCTGGATATAAGGGCCCACATGATTAAGGGTTTAGGGTTTAGGGTTTTGGGCTTAGGGTTCAGGGTTAAGGGTTTAAGGGGGACCGTGCAACTACCCTAAGATGTTGTCCTTCAGGCTCATTGAGCTGTACCGTGGCGTTTACTCCGCCCTGATCAAGAGCACGCTGCGGCTTTGCTTGCAGTGGATACCAGAACGTTGATATACACCAATCATACAAATATCTGTGCAGCTGGGGGTTGCAATTCGGAAAGGAAGTCTCTTGCGTTTAGGTGGTGCTTACCAGGCTACAGGGCATTGGGATCGCAGGATCATCAGGCAGATTAGTTGACAGTTGGCATTGGTCCAGGAGGTGGGTCGTTCCATTGCTTCAGGCGGAACCGACCAAGAAAAAATAATGCATGAGCCGACATTCACAGGATGAATCACAAGTCCCGCTACTCTTAGGCAGAGTGCCCTCCTCTACATGGTCAAGGATCAAGTGGAGTTCTCTGTGGAGCGGTTCTTCCACCTCACAGCGCAGGCACGTGAATCTTAGACTTGCAAAGTGTGTGTTTGAATGTGTGTGTGTGTGCGTGCGCGCGTGCACCTTGCGGAAGGTTTGGGATTAACTTAGGAGTGTTAGAGAGTCAGGCAAGGCATCTCGGCTCATGTCACATCGTAGCCCCCAAATCCCCCCAGATTTCGCTTAGAGTGCTGAGTCCTAGAACCCACCGAGCCCTTCTCAAAACCCAGTGGTGTTGGCAAGGCCTTCTTCCGCAAGACCGGCCAAGTGAAGCTTGGGAGCTTCTCGGGCCGGCCACTGGCCTCCTAGCAATCATTCTGACAATGCATAGTCGAATAGTCATGATCTTAGTGATTTCAAGTTTCTCGCTCTCTCTCTCTCTCTCTTTCTGTCTCTCTCTTATTTTCTCTCTCCTCGGTATGTCTATGTATTCTTACTTAGATATAGTTATATGCATCAGTGTGTCTTACTTGTTCTTTAGCTTGCTTATTTGTTCAGAAGCCGTGCGCCGCCAGCAATTCTTCTCTCAAGACTATGTCAAGACTCAGTCGTCTGCTGATGCACTTTGCGCCTTCGACGGCCTGTACGGCATTTCGGTGCCGACTGGGCACCGAAGAACCGGCCCGCAAATACACCAGCAGAGGCCAATCAACCTGCAGACCAAACGCACCTGCTGTGTGCCTGCACGCTGGCAGAGAGCTGGCAAGCCATCCCACGCTTATCACACTTGAAGAAAGAAATCAATAAACGCTGGGTGTATACATATATAATCATATGGATACATACATATAAAACGATAACAAATGGCATTAATGGTTAGTCGGCCAAAGAGAGTGGCTTTTTGTTTGTTAGGGGCGGTTGGCATGAAGGCATACCAGGCAGCAGATGTCCGGAAGTTGCAGGGCACATGTAGCCAAAGTGCCACTTCAGCTGCAATCGTTTTAGCAGCGGAGGGTCGGGCATATGAAGTCCTGCTTGTAATACGTAGCAGATGCCCATTCTGATCTTTTTGACCCGCATGATGTACGCTTCGTGCCATTGCTTGCAGAAAAGTCGAGGGGCGAGGAATGACAATCATAGGAAAAGGCTGTGCCATCGCAAGAATGCGCTCGCTGGCCGACCTTCCCCAGCCCCTTCTTGGAAGTCGCGCCCTGCCACGGCGGTGAGCACATGCGAGCACCCAAGAACCAAAGAAGCACCAGTTGTATGATGCCAAAGGAGTCCCTTTCCACATTGTCAATCATCGTGGCAGAGCATGGTCGGCTGAAGCACTTCAGTGGTATCAGTTTCCGACCCCCAGCGGCAAGCTCCTCTGGAGTAGCCTGACGTTGCTGCACATTGCTCCTAAACGATCGCGCCTGCCGAGCTTTGCACACTCGCTCTCTCACGGATTGACTTGCAACTTGCTTCATGGGCATGTCGAATGAGCGCCGACTGCTGCAGCGCACGTGCTCTCATCGCACACAGGCACAGCTCATGCATAAAGCGTTCCGGGCTTTAGACTTGAGATGAAACAAGTCGTGGTATAACACCGCCAAGCATTGCAAACACACGCGCTCACATTTACGATTCGTGTTGTTATAAGATGGTTTTTTGGTTCCTCGTGTGCCGATTTGAGTTCTGGGAACAAGAACTGCAGACATCTTCAGCCCGTCTTGCTCTCCCATGTAGCTGGTGTCCCCAAAGTGCGGGTTCGACAAGTCTACACTGTACTGGTTGGGGTGTCAACACCGAGTTCACAGATGTGTGACCATGCATGGCCAGCTGGCTGTGCGCTACGGTGGACAAGTCATTCAGGCAGTGATTAGACGAGTTGCTGTCCCAACTGTGCACACGCTGAGACCGTGCAGATGCGCAAGTAGAG